GCTTTAACTTTAAAAAAGAAATTCTTTTCGTTTATTTCCATTGATGGGTATGATGGGTATTTGGCAATACTCGAAACAGCTGTATGGTCAGCCAAAAATTCAATTAATTAAAATAATATAAAAATAAAATTTTTGTTGTTGTAGTTCACTACTGTTCGAAAAACTTCTTTATAAAAAGTTTTTGTTATTGAAATTTCCTACTGTTGGATAAAAACCTTTCCATTTATTTAAAACAATAGTTTATATAAAGAATTTAGTTTCTTTCATCAAAGCTGAAGCTAAAAATAAATTTGATTTGATCAGTCATAAATAGTGTAATTTAGTGTAATTTTTCAAAAACGAGTATCGTAATCATTTGACAGAGCCCCATATATCTATTTTCTTTTTCGGAAGCTAAAATTTCAGTACAAGAAAATCAACTGTATCCATAAAACATTTTTTTGCTTATAGTGTTAAAGGTCATGTGTGTATTGAAGTTGAAATAGTTGGAAGAGATGAGCTTGCTTGATATTGATTGATTATCGTATACATTTAACTGAGGTATCGTTTTAGAAGTTTTATCATTTAAATCAGCCATCGCGCCATAATCAGAAAGCATTAGGCAGTCAACAGTCTGTGTCGAGTGGTCAGATTCGAATTTTTGACTGCACCTGCGACCCATTTGGTAATTGTGGTTCTTGCAAGTACAAGTAAATATTGGTGCTATATTCATAATACAATAGCTAATAAAGTATTTCAAAGAATTTAACTACATCAAAATTTTAAAATTGTTAAATTGTTTTAAAATGTTAAAATTTTGAAGAATTAAACGTAGATTAAGCTCGGTAACTCAAATTGTACGCAGGAGTAGGCGCGTAGCCAGGAGTTGAGTTTTCAATACTAAAGCTATCTCAGAGATAAATGAAAGAACTATATTTTTACATATGCGTATTTATAACTAATGCGTCAAGTCTATTTTGAAACAGCTTTTTGTTAAAAATTTTACTGAAATTTACTGGAATCATCTGAAAACCTCTTGAAGATAATTTTTAGCTACAAGTCTCCGCAAAAGTTTACAGAATAACATGTTACTGACCATCTCTATTATTACATTAATATTAAATAATAATTAATAAGACATAAATTCAAATAATTTTTTTTACAAAGATTTTTCGAACAATTGTAAACTACAACAACAAAAAATTCATTTTATATTATTTTAATTAATTAAATTTTTTGCTGACCATACCACTGTTTCGAGTGTTGCCGAATAACCATCATCATAGGTCTTGGAATTATCAGGTCTCTTATATTGAACTCGTGCCCTGCCAAATTTGAAGCTTAGGGTAATTTTTCCACAATTTTATAATTTTTTTATTTTAAATTTTATTACAATTTATAATAATTTTTTATTATTTTTATTTTATTATTTAATGAATTTGATGTACTTTAAAAATAAATGCTTGTGCTTGTAGGCAAAATAATTCATAGAAAGTAATATATTAGATATACACACAATAAAAATAAACTAAAAGAGTATATATTTTCAGTTCGGTTAAGAGAATTAACAATATTATACAAAATACCTATTAAATTACCAAATAGCAGAGAAAAACAAAATGTGTAGAAAGTCGAATAAAAGTTGTATGTACAATATATATTGATAAAAACCTTAAGTCCCCTGAACAGACATGAATGGGTATGCAGATATTACATCTATTTCACACGTGCATATCGCATTTCTTCCAGACTTACTGTGATTTGGTTTTTTGTTCGATTTCTAATCAATTCATTGGTCAAAGTATTAATGATTGGAAAAAAAACTGAACATAAAAATAAAAAATAAATCGGAAAATGTAGCGAAAATCCAATTAGCTGGGAAGCAACAATATCAATACCAACGTCAATGGCATTACCAGCAGTAAATGCTACCAAAACAAAATCGAAAATTCTTCCAATCGTCAAATGGTCATTATACAGATAATTACCAAGGCTTAAACATTTTCCCTATTAGGATTTGTTGCTTGTATGTATAAACCAAAATTGAAATACGAACCGAGGTAGATACTTGTAGGTGTGTATATATGTTATGTAGCAGACGGTATGGTAGTTTTTTTTAAATATATTTTTAATGTTGAATAAATTAATTATACAAAATAAAACATTCATTTTTATAAAAATTTTTTTTAACTTGAAATATTTTCTAAATGATTTTATTATAAATAAATAAATTATGTGGGTCAGTCACTCATACGATTGTGATTTAAAACAAAGAGTTTCAATATATTACTAAAGTAGTTAAAAAAATGTTACCGATCATATATACTGGCATTACTCAAACTATCTTCTATATCGCGAAATATATGTTTATTATATGCGATATATATCTACGACATAGAAATCGTATTCGCGTTTAACCCCTGTTACTTGCAGTCTCAAAAAATGTTCTACGAATTATTTAATATAAGATACTAGGTGGATTGATAAATACCAGGCCTAAGTAATAAAAAAAAAACATACTGTTTGGAAAATTATATTTTATGCTTTAATATAGTCCTCTTTTAGTTCGACACACCGAGTCCAATGACTTTGTAACATTTGGATACCTTCTAAATAATACGATTTATCAAGTCCTTCAAAAAAATATACTTCAGTTTCTTATTTCACTTCCTCATTCTATGCAAATCTCTTTCCCTAGAGCTATTTTTTATAGTTTGGAAACAGCTAACAGTCACTAGGAGCCAAATCTGTGAAATGCGGTGGATGAAGAATCCATTCATACGGTAATTCATTTAATTTTGCTATGATTTTTATGGACGTATGAGTGGGTGCACTGTCCTGCAAAAACAAAATTATTTTCTTCAACAAATATAGTTTACTTTTTTGATTTCCTCGATCAAATGATCCAATAATGTATTATTGTACTATAAGCCTAGTTGTGAGTTCACTTTTTTATATGTTTCTATGTTTTTAAAAGACATTTTAAGTTATTTTTTTTTATAGTCCTCTATATAAATATCGCTGTCATTTCGTAGTTTCTTTGACTTTTTCTTCTGGGTAGAATGTCCAAAAATAAATATAGATTTTTAGTCATTTTTATTATCAAAATAGATATGAATATACAATTATTTTGTGGTTATTCTAAATATGTATTTGATTTTATACACCTACAAAAAATTATGAATAATTTTTAGTTATTACATCTCTAACGAAGCCTAGTTTCTTCATTAAAATTATCTACATGATTATTCTCTCAAATCATATATTTATATTGAAATATATGATTTTTAAATCATATATTATTTATTATTCACATAACATATCTATTCTGCCCACATACTAACCTTAGTCTTATATTAAGATAATTGTATGAACCTGTCTTCATTCTTTTGATATCTCTTTAATCAGCTTTAGTCAAATTCATCTCGTAATTTAATACATCTGCAAATTTGAAACGGTGCTAAGCCAATTATAATAGGACGTATTATATCTATTCAGAGCAGACAGATAAATCTTTTGATAGTACGAAGTACCTACACTGAAGCCAATTCAAATCTAGATAGTTTTGATATCACAATGAATGCTACTCAATTTTATGAGAAGCTTCTCAATCAAGTCAAGTCAAATCAAATGAATTAATTATAATGACAATAGCCTATCTTCATCTTTGTGTTCACAATAACCAAAGCTTTGCACTTGTGACTCAATGTCACATCTGTAATCTGTGAAACTTAATGTTATTAATTTACCTTAATAGCTTACAAAGTGGAAGCAGTAGAGTACAGATATGACATTTAATCGACGAAAAGACACGAGATTTAGTAGTTGAATTAATCTTATGTTGAAATCAATACCCTAAATGATGTGTGCACTTCATTATGAACTCTAGCAATCATAGTCATTGTCATAATCATTGATACAATACGCTCCACAAATTATGTGTAATGTGCTACTGATAGTAATGACAAAAGAATACTTAAAATGCAACTAGGACATATAACAAATCAAGCACTAATATTTAAGATATAAATATACATCGTATACGAAATTGTTTAAATATTCTTTGCTATTTTTACTTATTTTACTAGAATATTTTGCGTTTTGTGTTAAGTATGTTTTAGTGCAAAAATTCTCATAACATCAACTGTAAACAATAACACCGCATCCTTAAACGGTTTTAAAATATGTTTATAACTGAAGTACATGCAAATAAGAGTATCCTTTTGTTGTACACACCAAAATAACAATACTTTCAGCGGTTAATATGCACATTACGTTGCTACTAAATCTTATTCAAGTGTAGATTTTAATACTTAGAAAGCAGTATTATGCTACAACAGCACCAAAAACAGCTCCAAAAACAGCTCCAAACACAGCCCCAAAAACAGCACCAAAATCAGCTCCGAAATCAGCAGCTGCTTTGTCGCTTTGTATTTCATACGAAATCCAAACAGTAATGAGCTTAAAATGTTTTAATTATTTGCATAATTAAGCAATTTATTTGATTACTTAACACATGAATGGGAGTTGATTTACATACGGTCTTGTTTGTCGATGTCATGAGAGTGTATAAACATAAATACATTTGCCTAAGTTTATTAGTAAATCCCTGCAAATGTTTACTTAAGAACTTAATGAGCGGTCATGGCTAAAGCTGAAACAATCAACTTTATTATCTTAATTTATGGCAAAGGTGTATCGAATCCAAACTACACAAATATATTTTATATAAAAACAAATATAATAAATAGAAATAATAGAAATAATAGAGGCCGCAAAATAAACACAATCTATTAAAGCATAAAAACATTACTATATATAAATTAATGCCTGCAAAATATATACACATACAAAACACATATAAATATTTTTATGCATCTCATAAGAGAAGTCCATTCATTATATTTGTAGGAGTACAAATAAAAAAACTTAAATATACTTTAATTTGAAAGAATTCAATTATTTAATTTAAATTATATTTCTTATAATTATTTTGAAAATTTTGTATATTTAGAGTATATGATTTAAACTTTATACTGTGAAACTTGTTAAACTGAAAGTAATTTCTCACGATCGATATACCTCATCAAATTATACTTCATCCTTAATGAAATTCATATATTATCGATAAGTCTTCTTCATCTTCCTCATTTTTGCAGTTTAGTAGGGCAACACAATAGACAATATCACTTCGTTGACTCTCCGTGTGTGACTCTCGAAAACGCATAGCTAGTTTTTCCTTCAACCTTTCAATTTGGCGATCTTCGTCGATTAACTCAGTTATGTACTCTATTATAGTTCGACGCTTTTCCTTAGGTAAGCTAGTATTGACATCAGTATCAGCCAAGTTAGATATAATTTCGGGTAAGATGTCCCACAGTATATTTGATTTGGTGGATAATTCTTTAAAGAACTGACATGTCATATTTTTAATATCCACGCTTGGATCGATAATGCATGTTGCTAATAGCTTTAACATCTTTCCCTGGATAGGAATCATTTCTTGCAAAATTAACTTCGTAATGATCTTGACAGCTATTAAACGAATCTCTTCATTCTCTTCTTGTAGCGTTAGGTACAAATGCCCTATCCATGCTTTCATTTCCTGTGGGTATTGAAGCGTCAAGTCAGATAAGCTGATTATAATATTACTTTTGATGCTCGTGTTATTGCAATTAATAAATATTTTAATTAAGAGTTGCATATAACTGTCGCAGAATTTTCTTGAAACACACATAAATCGTACTAAAGCCAATATTGCAGCACATTGAAGGTGTTCTGATTGAAATTTTGTTGGATTTTTTATAATTCGTAGCACCAGCTTAATCATGACTCTTAAAAGACTTTGTTTGTCATTTACCAATCCTTCCTCATAGATTTCATAAATGAGGTCTGCAATATTGGCGTCTGCAGAAGTACCAAGATCTTCGTCAGGCTACAAATACAAATAAATACAATCTTAAATGAACAGCAATTAAGATTAATTATTAATAACATATTAAAATTAATAAATCTTAATAATATTATATAACAAACTGTTTTTTATTTATTGAATTTAAGTTTTAAAGTCAATTTTGATAAAAGGAACTTATTTTTCTGATGAAAGGGTTTTTGTGTAGAAGATACTTATTATGCTTTTTAATAAAAACAAGCTTAGAAACTACAGCTTACAACTATTGATTTATTTAAACAAATATTAAATAAAATATATTAAAATTGTACAAAATAGTTTCAACAAATACAATATTACTTACTTCTTGCTGTGGTTCCGCAGTACTGCGTTCCTTTTCGATAAGTTCACAACCCTCAAGTTCCTGAATATGCTTCATACTATTATAAACATCAACATCAATAAATATTAGTTCCTTTGAAGTTATGTAGCCAATAATGTATAGGAAACGAGTTAATAGAAAAGCTTTCGTGGTTTCATCTTCCTTCTTCTGACTCGGTAGTAAAGGTTGCGAACTCATTGATTGAGATGCTGAAGGTGGCGATGCAGAGCTTACAGTGGGCTTTTTAATAGTTTTCAGCATGTCTCCCAGCAAATCAACGACCATTTTTTGACAAAGAATATGTGGTCTTTGACATAGAGTATAGAAGAATTCAAATGTCTTTGTAGCTACAAGCTCAAATTCGGGCAAAAGCGTTTGAAAGAAGAATTTCATAAACATATCGAAAACATTTGTTACTATAGAACTATGACAATCATAACGTTCATAATACTTTGGGTTTGCGTTATGATCAATCGAATTCATCATAAATTGTAGGCATTGAGCATATAAACGTGGATTGCGCCTACCGCGTTCACCAAATCCAGCCATTACAATAATGTTTAAATTAGCTGATGCAATTGAGGCCTTTGAACTAGAACACACAACAAGCAATTCTAAAGCTAAATTCGACTCTTCAGTTGTTGTTCCCTCAATTTTCATAGTAAACATTTCAAAAAGAACTTGTATAATTAAAGCATCCATGTCGTCTGTTGATACCCATTTTTTAATTAAACACTCCAAGGTAGGAAAATTACCATGTTCAATAGTTTGAATAAAACGTAACAAATTTTGAATTATTTTAACAGCACGAGCTCTATAATAATCATACAACAAAAATACAACTTATAAAGATTTCACAAATTCATAATCATTTCGAGTACTAACCTTCCAGTTAAGTTTGTCGTGAAGAAAACTTTCTTATATGCATTAGATACAGAGTCTCGTTTTCCCTTCTCTGATGAATTCACCAACAACAACATTTTTTGCATGCCAACTTCCATACCTTCCACTCCAAATATATATCCAGTCGTTAAAAGATCGACAGCTTCATAAATATCTAATATCGTTTTGGAATCCAACATATCAAGAATTTTTGGTACTGCTCTCGTAAAAACTTTTGAAAATTCTATAGAGTCTTCAAGAAGCTCTACTTTTTTCATCATGGTATCCAATTTTTCGTTCTAAATTAAGAGATAAGTTATTAAGTCAATAAGTTAGAATTATGAAACATATAAGGTAGCAAAAAACTGGTATAAAATTTTCACTATTAAAGAATATATAATAACGATAAACTACTTACGAGTATTTATGCGAGGTCAATTACTATGTCTTAGATTATCAAATTATTAGATTATATACACATTAAACTTTATTCATAGTTGTGTATATTTTACTCTTACTTACATCACTTTCATATCCGAAACGTGCTAGAGATATGTAATTCTTAAATGAAGTCAAAAAATATGGCACTTGTTCTTCAAGGGGTAGTGTACTCGTATATCTTCAAACAATCAAAAATTAAGTTATGTAGTCGAAATTAGATGTTAGCGTTTAGAAATTATACCTTAGCAGTGTAACTGCTTCTTTATACTTTTTATCCAGTAAAAGCTGACAAATCCCTTTACCAATGTCCTCTAAAATTTCTGGCGTTATATATTCTTGAGAGTCTAAAAAAAAATTTAATAATTAAGATTTATGCCATATATATCATATATATTAAATTAACTTAATGTATTTAAAACAAAATTGTATGTATGTATGTATGTATTTGTGAACATGTATATATATGTAATATATTTAGTATATCAGCGATATATAAATTATTTATTTCTTTATAACAGACATAATATACATTGAAGATATCATGCAAATTAATCTATAATAAATATAAACTTACATTCATGTCGCAAACTCTCCTCTATAAATGGAGCAATTTCTGGTGATATTATATTCCATTGCTCTTCTATTTGTTGGACTTTCTTCCTTTCTTCTGCAATTGCTGCATTTAATTCGTTGATATTTT